AAAAAAGCTTGAAAATCTAATAGAAGGCTCCTAGTATATTGTTTCAAAGGTAGATGAAAATTATTAAAAATCCTTAGTCACAATTTTTTTTTATAAGCATTTAAAGTTCAAAAATTGACAAAATATGGAAAAAATCACGAAAATTAGCAAATTATTTTGAGTTAACAATTCCTAAACATTTTTCTTTTTAAATCTAAGATTTGAAAATGTAATACAAGATTACTCATAAGTTTGTCTACCTTTATGAATAAAAAAATCTCTACCGGAAAGTCAAATTAAATTTTTATGAGCGTTTGAAATTCAAATTTTTACAACATTGGATATTCACTCGATTTCTCATGTAGCGATTTCCTTATTTTGTTGTAATTCAAAAACGAATAACTGTAGATACATGAAAATTTCACTGAATGTTCGTATTGGCATTTCCTATACATTGTACAATTTTGAAAATATTTTGACTTTTTTTGAGCTGTTTACGGACATTTTCAGTTTAAGGTAAATTTACCTCTTTTCAATTCAATATTGTTCTCCATAAATTCTACTATTGCTTCTTTCTGTGCCATTGTCACAGACCTTCCTTTATTTTTCTTTAACTTCATTGTGTTTTAATTACTTAAAATGAAGTATACGGACAAGTGGGTTAAGTTGGACACCTATTTTTGATTTGTGTTATTACAATTTTAAATGCATCTCTTAAGAGGGCGCTAAACACGCATTTTTCTACCTACCTAAAAACATGTTTTAAGAGAATCGCTCTCCTTTGGGCTGTAGGTATCGCACAAAAATCAAATTTTGACTACTTAAGGATAACAATATTATCTGTGTTCCTATGTTTTATTATGATTAAAACTTAACTCAATAATTTTTTATGGATTGTAGAAAAGTATAAGAAAACTAAATATTCAACATTTAATAATTATTACTATGTTAATGCGCTATCTAAAAAATAAAACATAGGAACACAGACAATGTTCTTACCTTTATGTTAACGAAAGTTGGATTTTGTACGATTAGTGTAACCCAAATGAGACTGATTCTCCTGAGATATGTTTTTGAAAAATATTTCGTATTTGTAACATGTAATAGTCCCGTAGAGTGCTGCCAGTGCTACTCTAGCGGCAGCGTTCTAAAAACGTACCCATACACCTACACCGCGCACGCACCGTACCTCACCATAGGTCAAAAACAGTGGCGTATTTAGGAATTTGTCATGGGGAGGGTCCAGATAATTTTCAGAATACAGAGCCACGGGGGACGAAGCTCCCCACACCACCCATTTACTCTTTATTAAATAAAATATACCATATTTATAAGACGATATAAAATTGTCGAGTTTTTAATTATTAAATAATAATATGTACAAAACAAATTTAAAAAAAAGCGGGTAAATGGATATCACTCTGCTGTACAGTAGGTTACAAGTGGGTCAATGTTTAATGGATTTTATTAAACTTGAACTCAATGATAGGTATAATATCATAATATATCATTGTATAAGAAAAACGATTCTGAGCGAAGACGGTTTGTCAGTCTGGATATTTTATATTGTTATTATATATTATAGCCTGTAAGTTGAATTAATAATGAAATACTTTTATTTTTATTTTTTTCTATGGTGATAGACCAAGTGTTAGAAATTAAAATCCCATTTTTAGCGGTTTTTCGTAATTTTTTGGTGGTTTTTACAGTGGCATTAAATAACTATTGAGAAAATCGAAAAATGCAGTAAGTAAGTATTAAAAAGTACTATCTTGATCCAATTTTCTAAAAGATAAGTTACTATATGTCTATACACGTTGAAATCGAAGGACTCCTTCTGAAAGAAATTTTGCAAACAGGAAAAATAAATAAACACAATTGTAAAACCAATAGATCCCTCAGAATCTAATATATAGCAGAGGCTAAAATATAATTTTTTTCGTACTACACATTTTATATTAAACTTTTAGTTACCGCGAGGGGCTTTGCCACCCCACCAAAAAAAGTGTATTGAATCTATACACATAAACAATAAACATAGAGTAATCAATTTCTATTTTTCTTTATCTAATCTACAGAGTATAGACTACATCGCAAGTTAAAGATTTATGTCCGTATATTGGTACGATAATTAATTCGGTATTATACATACTATTGCAATAAATGCACAGAACTATAATAATACTATACAATACCTATTATAGACAGTGAATTGCGAAATAAAAATCCCCGATTCTAGGAAAAAAACATCCCAGATTTCAATATTAGGTACTCACATAGGTAATCACATGAAATTGATTTATTAAATGTTTTTTAAAAGCTAATTAATGTAATTACCACATATTTTTTAATATTTAATTATAAATAAACACAAGGTTTAGGAATAGCTATCATTAAAAAAATGAATGTATAATAAATAGGTAGTGTTCAAACATTAACAATAACATTATTTTGTTTTTGATTAGAAACAACATAGGTAAATATGTTAATGGTTCTTTAAAAAAAATATAGGTAAATACATTCAGTAACTATTGTTTGATAATTATTTGTAATTTGTATCGATTATTCGAAATATTTTTATTTTGTAATATTTTAAATATTGTATCTATAAGTAAAACTTGTAAAATCGACTCCTAATAATACGTAATAATCATTATTAATTTTTAAAATTCTTATCTATCTATTTCCCAACGAAACATCAAATAATTTTTCAATTAATGAATAAAAATGTGTAAAAAAAAGCTAGTATAGTACTTATAGTAGTTATTACAGGCCACACTTTTTAATTTCGTATTCCACACTTGGTATTTCGTACTACACAAAGTGTGTCGTACTACACACAATTTTAGTCACTGATATATAGTTATGTTATAACTTTTATACAAATATTTCCAAATTACATTAGGTACCTACTTCCATTCATAGTTGATCTTAGATAGCTTTTCAACTTAAAAAGGTTGAAAAAGATCTCTCTGGAGTGGTTGTAGATACTGGCAATGTACGAAACTACAAAATATTTGAATTAAAAAATAAACTTGGTATTTTTCAACCATTTTCGGTACCCAACTGATAAAAATAATCACGATATTTATTGAAAATGTTGATATAACTATAGCTTCGAACATTTTTTATAAAATCCGTAAAATCGTATGATAATATTTGTTTTTTAATCATGCAAAAACTGCACAACATTTAACATGTACGAGACACGAGTCAATGGCTATCTATCGCATGCCCGTATAGTTTATAAATATCCAAATCGTCGATACGAAAACAATAATACTGCCGATGATATTAATAATTCCGTATTATATTATTTTATAAAATATGAATTTATTTCATTGTGACCTGTTCATCCAACAGTGAACGTCAAACGTTCGATGTCAATGCGCTTTTGTTTATTTTTACATTATTTTAACTTTTACTTGGCATTTGCTACTGCGCTGTGAAACTTGATTTTGTATTATGTCTCCGTAAAAAAAGCACGTACTGTTAAAAAAAAAACAGACAGCGTAAATTAGCTATGAAGACCCGGTTAAGTATGGCAGGTATGGCTAAAAAAAAAAACAAGGCAATATTTTACTTAAAAAAGACCATATATACTTTTACCAAGTGATGGGTCAATTACGGGTCACAAGAAGAAATGTATGCTATTTTGTCATACACACACCCAATTGGACTAATGTTGAAAAATCTATTTTGATGTATCTTTTTGGCAGAAAAAAATGGTCGATAAACTAAAATTGTGAGTGATTTAAACAATAAATGTTTAAATTTAAATTTAAATATATATATATATATATGTATTATATTTTATACATATTATATTAGGTGATATAATATATTATTATATATTTTTAGGTTTTATATTGAGTGTTTATTACCCGAAATCACAGACCCTCTATATGGAAAGCGAATAAGTACCTATCTCTGATATAAGAGAACCAAAACATATTTTAAATACAAAAAAAAAAAAAATAACAAATTATAATAATACTTCTGTTAAAATTATAAATGTTTTTTATTTGTGTAAATATTCCATATTTGATATTATTATAGGTATTGTGGCAATAAAACCAGCAATTGAAACAAAATTGTTTTAATTTATAGTACCTTTTTGTTTTTTTTTTAATAAAAAATAATATGTTTCTGTTCAAAAAGAATTGACACACGCAATAAGTAATAATTCAATCACTACAAATCAAGCTATGTTGTATTACCGTATTTACTATATATATATTTCTACATATATTTAGGTAAGCAGCAGCTTTTAAAAAAAAAAGTTCGAATGGATACGCACGGATATTAAAAATAATACCGCGGCGTTTACGTGTGTGAAATTTATATTGACGCGATCCGTCATGGTCGTCCGTTCAAGAAATAATAATCGGCGCTCCCGAAACCGCCAGACGTGCTGAATGAGCACTGAGCAGTGCCACAGACTATGAGTAGTGGGCGTGACTTGAACGCCGCGCGCTTGCGGATCGCCAAAACACTTAACAGCGCGTTGCCGCGTTGAATACGTTTCGCTTTACGTGTAGCGTCCTCTTAATAACTAATATATTATAATTTATATTATTATAAATTAAAAATATTACTACTGTAATATTGTTATTAATTCGTTATCATTGAATTTAATGATAACAATTAAAATTGTCATCGAAAAATACGATTTTATCCGAAAAGAGTGTCGAAAGTAATTTATTCGTTTCGATAGTTGTTTAAGAATACGGTTGATCGAAAATTTCCGATCGATTCAATATTTACGATCGAATATTCTAAATCGAACCATATTTTTACCGATTATCAGATTCGATACCTTTGAGAAAAGAGCCCCAGGGTCCAGCTGAAAATGAGCCCAACTTTAAAACCAAACCCAACTTTGTATAAAACCACTTAAATATTCCTCCTCGAAATTTCAAGATAAGAGCTTACCGCCTAAAGTACGATGATGCCATGTTGGCGAGGGGCTATAGCCCACGCCAAAGTGATGTGTAGATTTCTTGATTTTTTTTGCCTCCATGGATTTTCGGGACAAGTACCTCTATCCCGGTACGTCCATAGTATAAGGAATAATATTTATTAAATTTTATTTATAATATAATATTTATTCCTTATACTATTGGTACGTCGTACACAGTTGTTGTCCTTTGGGCTCTACATAATATTATTATAATGGTTATGATATGCCTCCACTTTGCGACTCATTTATCAATGGCAAAAAAAAGTGGGGAAAATTCACATAACATTATTAGCCGCCAAATGACGGCGTAACATAATAGATAGTAGGTATCCATAGTCGTGCGTGCTGTGTCGTAGATTAACGAATTTTATGGTTGTATGTATATTGTACGTGTTGCACTATGTAGGTACTTACTACTTGGCACCAATTTATCGATTTATGTCCTTACTTTTTCAGTTTTTTGAAACCCAGTACGTTTAAGTCTGACCTATTTCGACGTCTTTTGCGGGTCTTGTACGAATCGTTGTAACGTCTACGATTAACATTTGACAAGCTACAACGAGTGAGCGTCATACATACTGCGCCTGAAACACGGTGAAAAACTCAAATGTAAAGAAATTTAATATGCGTCTCTTTTGTTTTTTCAGTGGAAAACCAGCCGATCGATAAAGCGGCTATTGTAAATCCGCAGAGTCTAGTTCTGCCTGGTTATGTGGCACAACAGCCTCCACCACACAATAACCAAATACACTTGCAGACGGATTTCACGTATCCACCACCGACACATCCGCATGGGATCTGGCTACAATCTTTTCCCAATGCATGGCAAACACAGTTCTGTATGCCCAGTCCTACACAACAGGCCAACACAACCGTTACTAACGCTGCAACATGCTATAACAATCCTTCCACGTTCAGTTCATCTAGTAACACAGCTACTTATAGTCCTTATGGACCACCTTTTGCACACTGGTGGTCGTTCAATAACAGTGCACATCAACAAACACCTTATCAGTATGGGAATACTCCAAGCAACAATTATCGAAGACAGTTCTCTCAAAATGCTGTACGTTACTTTGAGTTTTATTATAATAATATATACCTACCTATTTTATATTTTATTACTGTTACCTTCTTATTGTCTTATACAGAATGGGAATTTCTTTGATAATTCTAAACAAAATCCACAAACACCATCATCATTGTCAACACAAAATTGGCCTCAATTTAATCAAAGACCTCAGTTTATACCAAGACAACGTATGCTTAGGAACAGGCCTCATTTTTCCGTTCAAAATCAATCAAGAGGAACTAAACAGGTTTGAGATCATTATTTATATTTACATTGTGTTTTAAATAGCTTTTACCTTCAACTGTATTATCTATTTGAAAAATTGTTCTATAAATCAATTAGGTACTTACTTTAATAGAATATTTATAATTTAATTTTTAAAGTTTTACCAAGTTATTGCTTAATTCATTGTAAAATTTAGAAAACAATTAATGCTATGACTGAAGACAAAAAATGGAAGCACGAATTAAAATCAAAACAATCTGAAGAACCACAGCGTGCTCAAAAACCATGGAATCGAGAAGATTCTATAAAAGCAATCGCTGTCGAGAAGGAATTTCAAAGACCCAAAAACAATCAAATCATGATCAGATTTCCAGATCATGAAATTACTCAGGAAATTGTTCAGAACTTTCATACTGACATTAAATCTGTACATTTCCAAGCACCAACCTTTCCGAGGTAAGTAACTTGAACAGCAATCATCAACTAAATGAAATTTTTAAATTTTAATTTCAAAAGTAATAAATTTATTTGGTAAAAACTTAAAATAATAACTATTTTTTTTTAAATTAAATATTAGGTGTTGTTTTGTGGAAGTACAACCAAGTGCAAATATTGAAAATGTTGCAAATGCGCTAAATGAAACTTTTTTCCAACATGGAAAATTGAAGGTAGAAATCAAAGAAAATAATTTTGAAAAAAATTCATTACCGGAGAGCATTGATCCATATACGTAAGTGCCTTTGGTTCTAGATCCATATAAAAACTAAAAACTATATAATTTCTATTAAATTTGAAATTATTTGAAAATGTACTTAGTTTAAGTAAAGTACAGATTTATTGTATATTACAACAATACTTTTGTAAAAAAATCATGTTTTTATACTTTAAAAGAAAATATACATTGTAAGTATGTTATATTATAGTATTTTACTATTAGTATTTTAACTGTTTGTGTATGTAGTATGTATGTACAGTAAAACCGTATTAATCTGGACCCCAATAGTCCGGACTTCGCTTAATCCGGACGGGCGTTTAATAACACGTAAACCCTTAGTTTGAGACGCAGACTAAAAAAAACATGAAAGGGAATTCAACGAATTTCCCATATATATGCATGTGATCACGATAATTTCTTCAAAATACCAAAAACAAATTTTCAGTCACGTCATCCAATCGTCAATTTCATAATACATGTTCTTAATTCTATCATACATTGATACATACACGTATTTAGGTTATTTTGTTTAATTCGGACAACCTAGAGCCCCAATCAGTACGGATTATTGAATTTCTGCTGTATATTTAAATGGTTCTTTTTATACAACTTCTAAAAGTCATGTACGCAAATTAGAATTGATATTAAATATAATTATTATTATACTATGGATCATAAAATTATTAATTACTTCAGATTATATCTTGCAAATTTGGCACCAAATATCACATATAAAGCTGTTAAAGATGAATTTCCAAAAGCCATTCAAGTAAACATTGGGGTTGCTACAAAAATGAAGTTCACAAGGTAATTTCCAAACTCTATTAATAATATTCAAGTAAAATATATTTTGTACATATAAGCTAGTGGCATATTAACTCCATACCCCTGCTTACACCATATATAAGCCACTAGTCTAAGTAATAAATTATTCAAAAATTCAATTTTCTATTAGATGTGCATTTATTAAGTTTTCTAACGTGGAAGATGCGATACAAGCGTACAAAGAAAAATATAATTTGGTTATTAAGAGCCGATTGGTTATGTTAAGATTTAGACGTATCAAAGAAAATGTAAGCCCACCTGAACAGGTTGATAAATTAGTAAGTTTTTATTTTTTGGATGAAAATGTCTAATATTAAAATTGCATAATCTAATTTTTTAGCTAAATGAGAAGAATGAATTTGACATACAAAGTTTACAGAAAAAAATCAAGAGAGAACCTATAGAAGTAAATATTACTTTATTTCATAAATGTTCGGATTTTTACAATAATTTATACTAATTTTTAGGAAAATATTGATGAATATGATTCTTCTCCAATTAATGTATCGAGAGTAGTTAAGCCTGAAATGGTGGAAGAGGATAAATATGAAGATGATTCTAAATATGAATCTATACAATATGAAAATGATATTGATATAAAATCTGAGTGGCCAGATTATGAAAATGAATATGATGAACAATATTATGAAGAGGAAGATACAGATGAATCTTATACTTTCCGAAGAAATGAAACAGTAAGTATGGTTGTAGTGCTTGCTGATAATAATAGTGTTTAGTGCATTCAAACCGATCACAGTGACAATATCACAATGCTTACTGTAATTATAATTTATTCATATGAATTAGGTTTTCAATCACTTTTTATCTTACAAAACAAAAAATAAATAATTCAATCTAGGTTATTATTTATTTTTTTTATTTAATGAAATTACCAACATTTTATTTAGTTCTTATTTTTGTTCTTTAGGAAGTTAAGGATGAATATGGACAATTTAATGAAAAACTAGATGATGAAGATGAGTTTGATATACCATATTCATTTATATCAAAAAATCAAGCACTATCAGAAAATAACAAAGACATTATTTTGCCTAAGACCGTAAGTTTATTCAAAATTAATTTGACTAACTGTGTAATATATTTTATCTGCGGTCTACAGAGGAGGCTGTAAAATTTTTCTGTCTTGGCGGTGACGGTAAATTGTGTCCAGACTCATTTTACCGCCACCGCTACAGCATATTTCAGTTACAGCCTTATATGCAAATTCATGATCTTTGTAGCTATTATGGCATTGCACGATAAGCACTAAAACTACATATAATATAGCTTATAATATTTGGACTGCCCCATTGTAAGAAAGACGATAAGAAAAAACAAACTAGCGTCAGATAATAACCTTACTTTATTTTGAGTATGCTTTACGATTAAATATCATATTCATTATATCATATTGCACTTATATCATCCGTTATCTATGTTCCCAAAATTGTATATTTTTCCAGTAACATAAACATAAATACAGAGAGAGATAGTTCGATAACAATATCAGACTTAAAATAGCTATACTATATTTGCTATTAAATAATAAAACATGTATTCATATGCGGGGGGTTGAATAAAAATCAAATGAATAATTAAGTATAGTATAAGTATTAGTATAATAAGTAAAATACAATAAAATAAATTTAATGAACTAATCATGAGCCATTATTAATTGTTTAAGAAACCATAGCTCAGTATTAATTAATTAAATGTATAGTGATAATTTATGTAACTCAGCAATAGTATTTTATTATATTTAATTTATTTATTCAAGGATGAAATAAATGATGGCGGAAGCGACAAAGAAATTCAAAAATGGAACAATTTATCAGACAATGATAATGATGATGATGGTGGTGCTGAATACAATTGGGGAGGATTAAATGAGCAAAAGAAATCTGAGAAACAAACGAAAGGTAAATTTAAAGAGAACATTAAGTTAGTGTTGATGTATTAGTGAAACATTACTAAAATACGAATAGAACTCATAAATAAGATAAGTTTAGCCGATGGCTCATTCCGATAATATGTAGAGTGTATAGAAGGTATACACATTTTGAACTACTCATAAATATAATAAATATACAATATGAGAACTGAAAAAAATTGAGTAAAATGATTATAGTAATATATTTGTTGATAATTATTAATTTATCACAAAATGTATTGGTATTAACATTAGTCGATCATCTACATTTGAAAATATTCGAAATATATAATATAAGTCACACAATGTATTGTTAATTTAAGCAACAGTTTAATAGGTAATTATTAGGTATAAATCATAAACACAATATTCATTTATAATTAAAATTTTTGTTTTGTCTTAAGTCGAATTTCAAAAAGTAGAAAGATTAAGAAAAAGAAATCTGGACCTTGGGTCTAAAAGGGCCAATCTCACTTTTTGGTGAAAATGAGATAAATGGCTTAACATATTATACAATTTTATGTATATTTTCTTGTGCTAGAAGGGCGTATCTTGATCACTAAAATTACAAGAAACAGATTGGCCAATGTTACAAACAAAAACATTATTTCTATTTCTATAGTGACCTATCTGATTTAAGTCTTTATAGTCATTATCTAATTCATAAAACTATAAGGCTTATGTGTACTTTGGCCCTTATATGATAAAATTAAATAAAAATATTGTCTTATCATTGGCCATGTTGACGTTGTTTATTGATAGTGTTATCTATATTCTATTCTATATTAAACGAAAAAAATATTAAAATTAATAATTAATAATTAATATATTTTAATAACAAGTAAACATTACATAGTCGAACAATTTTTTGTTAATATCAAATGTGTAGTACTCATAGTTCAATATTTTTTAAAACAGTTATTTATTTTTAAATCATTACAATGAGTAAGAGATCGAAGCAGCTGTTGTCAATGTGCAACGACAAAACAGTTAAAGGTACTATTATAGTTGATTGGTCATATTTAAAAATATTATTTTATTTAATATTATACATATTATACATAATACTATCATATTTAAATATAGAAAATACAGTCGAATCCGAAAGTGAATCTGGTAGTGTAAATTATCACGTTGATGGACAGTCTTGTGGCCGCCGTTGAAAAAAAACTATCCTTAAAACGACTCTTTTCATTACTGCTATAGCAGTAATATTTTTAGTACTGCTATAGCAGTACTGACCTCCGACATCACATTTTCAATTTAAAAATTACTGCTATAGCAGTATTACATTTAAATGTTAATATTACGAATTGTGTATCCTGTGTTGTGCCAATCAAATGAAAAAAAACATTAACTGTATATATCGATAAATATTATCGAAATATAAATTATAACTTATCAGCTGAAGAATAAAAATGGAAAATACGTGTACATGTATTATAAATACGTGTATACATAAGCTAAAAATAGAGTGCCTGATGGCCCGATGAGATGTCCGGGGTCAGTAAAATTTCCTTTCTCATAAGAGACCATTGAAAATATCACTGCTATAGCAGTAATGACACTTTTTGGACGATTTTTATATTACTGCTATAGCAGTAATATTTAAAAACGACCCCTGACATCAACATTTAATATTACTGCTATAGCAGTAATATCGGCAACTGTCCACCAACGTGTTATGATTATTCTAGTGATGAATTTTATATTCCACCAACCAAAAATATTCAGTCTGAAGAAAGTAGTGATGACGATATTCTAAATAATAATGGTAGGTAACACACTAAAATTATACCATAATTTCTATACTTAAAAGTAATGTATATAATATATATTTTTTGAAATATCCTAGGTTTTATTGAGATTAATCCCGAAAACTTGATAAATACACTAAATCCTGAAAACAACAATGATAATGATGAGAGTTTTGATATTGAAGTTAAATTAATAGTATATACTTTTACTTTTATAATGTTTGCTTTACAGAAATAATAATATTTTATAATAGAATAATTTCATATTATACTATTATTACTAGGCACCTATTATTATATACAAATAAACTAAAAACTCAATACTATAAAATATTATTGGAATAATACTAAATAGTATATTTTAAAGTATTGAAAATAAAATAACTAGATTTTTTTTTTCATTATTAAATTACTCACTCTAATATTTTGGTATTTTGAAATTTAGTGGTGAACTTCCCTAGTATGTCTAGAGATATAAGTATTGTTGAAGATATAGAATTTATTGGTGAACTTGATACAACCTCTCAACAACCAATTGATCCTCAAGGATTTTTCATAAACTCAAGAGGTGGTGGTAGGAAAAAATTGGCTGATGAATTACTGACAAGAAAACGTAAAAGAAATCCAGAAGGTTGGACTAAAAATGTAAGGAAAACGTCAAAGATGCAAGGCAAAAGTTATATAACTACAAAAGGTAAATTAGTTCCAGCAAAAACATTGAAGCCCCCTTGTTCATGTAAACGTAAATGCTTTGAAAAAATTGACACAGATCAAATGTTTGTTATTTTTGATAATTTTTATAAGTTGGAATCAGAAGGACAAAGCCAGTTCATATCAAATAATATAGAAGAGTACCCTAAAAAAACTGAACGTATAAAACAAAACTCCACACCCAGTAGAAGACAATTTTCAAGAAAATACTTTCTCACAGGAATTAATAATATACAAATTGAAGTATGTCAGGTTATGTTTATGAACACATTGAATATAAACTTGAAAAAAATTAGAGTTACTATGGCAAAAAAAAAGACAACAGGTGCAGGTATATGTTTGACAGATGGTAGAGGACATCATTCAAATCATCCAAAAACATCTGAACAAGATAAAAATAATATAAGAGATCATATTAAAATGTTTCCATTCAAAGAAAGTCATTACTCTAGAAACAAAACTAATAAAAAGTATTTTTTGAATCCAGATCTTTCTATAAGTAGAATGTATGATCTTTATAAAAACCATTGCACAGAAAACCACTTTCATATTCTTAGTGAATTTATGTACAGGAAAATTTTTGTTGAGGAATTTAATTTAGCTTTCAAAAAACCAAATATTGATACTTGTTAGTTATGTGATAAGTATGAAACTATTTTGAAATGCTCCACTATGAATGAAGAAATACAAGATACAATTAAAGAAAAAAATGTACATTTACAAATGGCTGAAATGGCTTATGAGGAGAAAAAAAAAGATAAAGCTCTAAGTACTGTTAACAATGAAATATTATCTGTGTCATTTGATTTACAAAAATGTTTAGCTACACCATTCTTATCTAGTGGTCTTTCTTTCTACAAGCGACAATTATGGACCTTCAATTTAACTATATATGAGACATATGGTGATAAAAACTATTCATATTGTTATCTATGGGATGAAACTAAAGCAAATCGTGGTGGTCAAGAAGTAGCATCTTGTATTTATAAATATGTTAATGATAAACTTGATAAATGTGATAGTATTAAAGAGATCATCTTTTACAGTGATTGCTGCCCAGGTTAGAACAGAAATATTTATATGGCTGTAATGTTTTTGCACTTAGTTGGTTGTTTGAAAGAAAAAGGAAGAGATCTGATTATCCATCATACATTTTTAATACCTGGTCATACACACATGGAGGCAGATACAATTCATGCAGCCATTGAAAAACAAAAAAAACGTACAATGATAGATATTGAATTGCCAAGAGACTGGGCTATACTCATAAGTTCAGTTCCAAGAAAGCCTCCAATAAATGTAATACAAATGGAGCAATACAACTTTTTAAACTTCAAAGAGTTAATTGGTAAAGTATTTATACATAAAAAAATTAATATTGATGGTGAAGCTGTGGGGTGGAATAAGATTAGGTGGATGAAGTACATGACTAATAATTTTGGAAATATTTTATATAAACATTCCTTCTCCTGTGATGAAAACCAAACATTTAAAATATTGGACTTAACAAAAAAAACCAGACGTTCTTGTGAACTACATGCTCTACACACTAACCTTCTACCACTTGAAGCAAAAAAGTTAAAATACTTACAGTCTTTATTACCTTTTATCAGTGAATCAAGCCGTCCGTTTTACTATTCATTAATAAACAACTCCACAACTTGTAGATCAAGTGAAGAAGAAAGTGATTAAGTTGTTATTTTGAATATTATTTTATAGTTTGTTTTTAATTTTTTTATATGGTTTGTTTTAATATTTAAGTTTCACGTTTGTGATATTGAAACAAATATTCAAGGCTGAATAATAATAATATCTTAGAAACTGATATATTAGACAGTTATTTGTATCCTATTAATATAATATTATTTTAGTGAGTATTAATTTGTTATATTTTATCTTTAAACAAATTATGCATATATAATATTAAAATTAAATTTATATAAAAATGAAACTCAATTGTTTTGATTAATTGTTATTAAACCTAAAAAGATTAAGGTTAGATATAAAAAGTATTTTTTTGTATTAAAAACAAAAATTAAGTTGTTATTTTGAATATTATTTTATAGTTTGTTTTTAATTTTGTTTTAAGGTTTTTTTTTTTTTATAGTTGAGTTTAAAGTTTGTGATACAGTAACAAATATTCAAGGCTGAATAATAATAATAATAATAATATCTTTAATCTTATAAACTGTTACATAAGAAAGTTATTTTTACCCTATTAATATAATATTTTAGTGAGTGTTAATTTATTATATTTATTTTAAAACAAATTATGTTAATATATAAATATTAAATAAATATAAAAATGAAAAATCAATTGTTTTGATTAATTGTTACTAAACCTAAGAAGTGTAAGGCTAGATATAAAAAATATTTTTTATAAACATTGATGATGTGGTTTTAGGGCCAATGTTGCATATTTTTTTATAAATACTGATTTTCATAGGGCCAATGTCAATAAAAAATACTTAAATAAGAACATTAAAAAACCAAATGTTTACCATTAGGTAGTATATAATTATATTATGATGATTGCAAAAGGAAAAATGCATACAATAAAAATTCAAATTTATATGCATTTTTGAAGTAAAAAAAACCGTAATCGTTTATTATCCAAAAGTGTTAAATAGTGAGATTGGCCCTTTTAGACCCAAGGTCCAGAAATAGATACATGTTAATTTTTTAAAATATTCTACAATATATACCACAAATTTCCACAACCTTTGTTTTACATGCACAATTGTTTTTTTAAATTTGTTATCATGATATTAAATTTAAATTAAATTAACACTAAGCATAAACCTTGCAAAAAAGAATGTGAAAACGATATAATATTTTACTCTATTCACTATTGTAAACAATTAATAATGTCTCCTAATGATGATGTCGCCGTAAAATTTCTACCATTCCTACGTTTTGATACTTTCTACATCATTTATTATCTATAAACCTTGGTAATAACGACCTAGTATAAGGTAACTGATATTAAATTATAATTTACTTTGTTTACCAAGACAGACAAAAAAGGAAAAAAAAACATCATTGTGTCAGAATCTGGTCCAAGTATAGTGAATACCACATCTAATATTACATATAGTTTATATTTTTTTAAAACCATATTTAAGGACAGTTAGTATAAAAATTTTAATAACTATGAACTACTTATTAGAATTTTGAATTAGATACATAAAAATGTTCAAGAAAATCATTCGCTAATTAATTTACAATAAAAAATTGGAAACCTAACCTGTCAGAGTCACCACTGTGAACAAAATAAATTGTTATATTTATCTCAGATTCAAGAGAAGAAAATAATTATTTATATTAGATTGAATTGGGCCAACCCCACAACTTATGTATTTAACAATATTGATGTGGGTTTCAGTGTAAAAAAAAAAAACCAAAATGTTATATTTACTGTACTTTTTATTACAATAGTGATAGTCTCATATTTCTGTTTAGGTGTCGAACAGCATGGTCAAAAATATGGGAAAGAAAAAACACAAAATTAAGTTGATAATAGTATGTACTTATAATTTTAAGATAGCTCGTGGGATATCATACTGATACTCTACTGTCATTAGCCCTTAGATGATTCATACTGTCATGCTCTATTAAAATATAAATTATATATTATACATTACATATTTAATTTAAATTAATGCATTAGTTAAAATGAAATGTTTGTGAAACCCAACTTATATTATGTCATAGATTAGGTTTGATAATTTGATATTTTAATTTCTCAAAAAAAAATTTAAACCAAATGAATACAACAAATATAAGGAAATCTTGTATTGGATGAAATATTTCTTAGAGAGTGTATCAGTGTAAATACTAAATCATTGAACTAACTTTTGTTTTCAAGTTAATCACAGACAAATGAAACTTTAAGACTACCTATATAAGTTGTTAATAGGTCTATAGTTTATAATGAATAGTCAATCTGTTTTTTGGTGCATTTTATTCATTGAGATATTTATTGAGAAAAAATGTCCCAAAAGTCGATTAACTTATTTGAAATTGCAAAAAAATTATTTTTAAGGGTTCTTCGAATATTATTACATTTGAAAAATGTATTTACATCTCTTATAAATTGAATTGTCTAACATTGTTTTGACACCAAGTACTTTGGTTTTAGATGCTTATTAAAATAAAAGCTTTAAAATTATAAACCATCAAAATAGTTTTATATTTGTTTTATAGAATTAACTCAAATATTATTTTATTTTATAAGATTTATATTATTTACAAATGTAATTTTTATTAAAAATAAATATAATGATATTATTATTTTTATTATTATTATTATTATTATTATTATTATATAACAACATATTTTATTAAACTTTTCACAAGTATACAACTTTTTTTTTTAGATATACAAGAACAATATATGATATTATATAAAATAAAAACCATTTGATCATAATAGTTGTTTACAAGTTTACAACTAATAATAAAATAGAAATTGTATACCTATAATTTTTAAGTTATTTTGGTAATAAATGTAGTAATAAATACTTTTAATAATTATTGTTCCTAAGTTTCTTACCAACTCATTATTCTCTTGCATCAATTTCTTTTTCTTTTTGATAATTGATAGTATGCAGCTTTCAGGTGGCACTTTTGTTGTGCCGTCCTCCAGTCTAATTCCAGCTTCGCCTGACTGGGTTGTATTAGGTAGGTTTTTTCTTTTTAGATCTATAATATAAAATATAATGTATGTACATGTGTTATATAAACGAAAAAGTCTTACCTAGTTTATAGGAAACAATGACTAATGGCTTGGAATTATTTTCATTGTTATTGTCTGCTATAATAGAAAAAAAATATAGAAGACATATTATATTGTTATATTAGTATTTATTATATTAAACTATCTAATTAATTATACTTAAAGTATGTTTAATGTTAGGTAAATACTTAAAATTAGTTAAATAATTTTTTTTATGTATAGATTATAATTAGAGGTAGGATGTTGATGACTCTTGAATTTTTTTCTTTAGCTTCTATAAAATGCTAAAAATTTGTTTCATGCTCGCTTAATTAAGAATATCCTAATTTTATTTTGCATTTTTAGCCATTTTAATTTTATTTTTAAATATTTTTGCATAATTTTTTCATATTTTAGGACATTTTTTCCAGTGTCTGTACAATGTGGAACATTTTTCTCAAATTTTATATTTGTGGGTTTTTGTTATAATTTTCTACATATATATATATAAATGAATTGCTGTTCGTTAGTCTCGCTAAAACTCGAGAACGGCCGGACCGATTTGGCTCAAATTTTTTTAAGATGTTTGTAATTGTCAGGGGAAGATCTAAAAGGTCTAAAATGTTGAACCAGGGGATGTGCTCAAATGGGGATTTAGAGATTTACAGTGGAAATGTTTGTTTATAAATGGTCGCCATGGGTTTTAAATCTATTATAATAATAATTATTGGTTGCGGTATATTCATTAAATTTATACTTACACTTTATTATCTTCTTCTATATATATAAAAATGAATTGCTGTTCTTTAGTCCCAACAATGTATTATAATTTATATTGGTTGCTATTGGTTAATTTTGCATGTTTGTTGATTTGTATTATTGTTATTGTTTTATTTTTATTTTTTAACCTAACCAATTTGGCTAACTTTTATCTAGAAATATTTATGGAAGTCCAGGTAAGGTTTGAAAGGTGAATAAATATCAAAGGTATATTATTTTTAACATTTTTATATACAGTGTGATCACGATATCAAGTACCACTGAATATCCCAGATGGGTGTCTTTAGGAGGTGAAAGTGAGCACTTAAATACATATTTTCAGACCAGTTTAAAATGTTTAGGTCACTCAGTACGCACATGAGCAATACGACTTACTTTTTTTTTAGTTGGCAACCCCAGTTTTTTTATGCAGATTCGGGTATTTTTTTAAAACATTTATTGAATAAAAAGTTTTTTCTATTTTCAAAACTGACCAAGTAAGTCAAAAATTGGATTTATGCATAATATGTGTTTAATGCAATTTTCATTTATAACCACTGGAAATAATAAAATAAGTGCCGAATAAACGTGTAATGGGAGACAGAGTAGCCGAGCGGACTAAGACGTCAGTTGCCGGTTCAAACTCGGCCACAGGTGGCATTTTTCTTCTGGCAGTCACGGTGTCCGGAAACAGAGGTCAACATGGTGACATCCTCCACCTGGGCATGGCAGATACCAACGTGTGTTTGTTTTGGCAACATTTTGAAAAAGGTGGGCAAGTGGATGTCGCTCTGCTGTACAGTAGGTTACAAGTGGGTCACTGTATAATGGATGATATTAAATTTGAATTCAACAATATAATATCATTGTATAAGAAAAACGATTCTGAGCGGAGACGGTATGTCAGTCTAGGTATAAGACGTATTATAAACTTATCTATGGGATTAAAAAAAATTGACCTATAATAGGTACCTATAATAAATTCCAAATTAATCATATCACAATATCCATTAGGTACTTATAAGCGTTATACATCAACAAAAACCGTGATACTATCATAGATATATAATAGTACACTTTAGAAGTTTCAAGTACCCACGAATAATATTATTCAATCACAACAAAATAACTAAAATAGTTATTCTAGGTTTTTTAATATGTAATTTCGGCCAAATTTGAATTTGAAATGTCTGTAAAAAATAACTGTGTTCATATA